TGTCTCTCTCTGGATCTACATTCCTTTCCTGTTGACATAAATGTCTATGGAGAACAGAAAGGGGTTTGTACCTGAGGTTTTCGCGAAGGAGGGGTGGTTATAAACCAAATGAGCAACACTGAAGGCTGGCCATTCCCTTCTTTTCCCAATTAAATCCTTGTTAAGCGACAGCACAGACAATAGGGGCCCTTCTGTCAGACTCCGGTCAAGGGCATTCTAGCCAGATTAGTCAAGACACTCAGGTAGGCATCTCTTATTAGCAAACGATTTAATTCTCGATTGACTAACAGCAACAGGGGTGATGACAGCAAGAGGAGAGTGGGTCCTGGGGGTCCAGCTCAGCTCTGCCAGGTCCCGGCCGGGCCAGCCCAGGAACCTCAGGATTCCACCTGGCTTCCTTCAGCCGGAGGACGTGGGTGGCGACTGCACCTGCCAGGTTGGAGGACGGAGCGGACTCAGCAAGGTGATCCACGCGGGTCCCCTAGAGCAGCGCCTGGCGCATAGTAGGGGATCAGTCCCTATTAGCTGCTATTCTGTTGCTACGGTTACATGGCAGCCAGAGCTCAGGCCTTCGCTTCCTTTTTTTCCCAGTGACTCCTTAACCTCATGCCTTCTGGCCTCTGCCTTCCCCTCTCAAGTCACTTTACTGTCTCCGATCTCACCCCCTTTTCAGCCACTTGCCTTGATGTGTCTGTGACTTAACACCACTGACCACCTTTTACTGGCAGCATGCCTCCCCCGCCCGCCCCCAACCCCTAGCACCCCAACCACCACCACCAGCCTCTGCTCCTTCAGTTTCCCTGGGATTGGTCAGCCTCTAGCCTTTTCCTGCCCATCCCCTCTGCCCCTCAGATGTCTCTCCAGGCCTTTTTCCTGGGCCCAGTCTCCTCTCGTCTTCCACACACCATCCCCGCAGATGTGTGGACTCACCACCCATCCAGGGTCCCAAACTGAGACCAGGGAGGCAACTTCCTCAAGACTATTCACTCTCCACAACCACTTGAGACCAAGCCCAGTGGATTCAATTTTCTTTACCATTTCCCACCTCTAGTCTCCCCTGCTCCCCCCGCCCCCCACCCCCGGCCCTTTTTAAAAAAATCACACTGACAAGTGCCGATGTGTTATTAAGAAAGCCCACAAGGGCCTGAAATAGAGCATGGTGTGTTTGGGAGAAGAGACTATTTCTTTACATTTTATTTTTTTTTAACAAAGGAAAACAAATTATGTTTATTTATTTACTTTTGTTTACTTTTGTTTTTGGCCGTTTCTGGCCAAACGTTTCTGGCTGGGTTTCTGTTGCTGCACAGGCTTTCTCTAGTTGTGGTGGGCAGGAAGCTACTCCTGAGTTGTGCGCGGCTTCTCATTACAGTGGCTTCTCTTGCGGATCTCAGGCTCTTGGGTGCTCAGACTTCAGCAGTTGTGATGCGTGGGCTTAGTTGACCCCTAACATGTGGAATCTTTCGAGACCAGGGATTGAACTTGTGTCCCCTGCATTGACAGGCTGATTCTTTATCACTGGGCCACCAGCGAAATACCCCTCCTGCTTTTTTTTTATTATTTATTTATTGGGCCGCAGCAGGTTGCAGCCCATGGGATCTTCGAACTTCATTGTGGCATGCAGGATCTTTAGTTTTGAGAAGTGCAGTCTAGTTCCCCGCCCAGGGATCGAACCCAGGTCCCCTGCATTGGGAACATGGAGCCGTAGCCACTGGAGCACCCGGAAGTCCCTGTCCCCCTCTTTTTACCTTAACCCCCATATTGTCACGTGTTACTCCACAGATGCTTGAGTGGTCTCCCTTCATTTGATGTCCCGCCCCATGGTCAGTGCTGCAGGGGGACTTTTTTCCTTCTCTCCCATATCAAACTGGACAGATTCTATTGCATCTGTGTCCTAATTATGTCTCAAACCAATCCATTCTTCTCTACCTATACAGCCAGCGACTGATGGAGTCCCTATTATTTCTTAGGTGGGCTCTTCTATTAATTCCCAGCTAGTCTTCCCATCCCAAGTGTTCCAGACTTTTCTCCACGGTCCCACGAGGGAGGCTCTGTCTACCTCCTCAAGCTCTTTCAGGGCCTCAACTCGGGACAGAGTGCAGGTCCACCACAAGGGGTACACGGAGCTCTCGGTCATCTAGCGCGTAAGTGATTTCTCCAGCTCCATCTCTGGCCGCCTCGCCCCCGTCCACTCTGCTCCAGCCAGGGTCAGGGGTTTGCAGTTCAGGAAACTGACTTCGTTTTAGGCCTTTGTGCCCTTGTGCAGGGGCTTCCCAGGTGGCGCTAGTGGTAAAGAACCCACCGGCTCATTCAGGAGACCTAAGAGACGCAGGTTTGACCCCTGGGTGGGGAAGATCCCTTGGAGGAGGGCATGGCAACCCACTCCGGTATTCTTGCCTGGAGAGTCCCATGGACAGAGGAGCCTGGTGGACTACAGTCCATGGGGTTGCAAAGAGTCGGACACGACCCAGCAACTTAGGACACACACACGCCGTTGTGCCTGCTGCTCACCGCTCCCTCTGCCTGGAGCACCTGCATGCTCCTTTCTCTTGGCAGTAGGGACACCTCCATGTCTCCTGAGATTCAGTGGATTGCATCACCTCATTCCAGGGGCCTTCTCCAATGTCCACATCCTTTTCCTCCTTGGTTTTCTTCCATGGCATAGCTCTGTGGGTTCCATTATTTCCACTTCCAGCTCATTGTCAGTTGCTCTGTCACCATCCATCTCCAGTGAGCTTCCACTTCTGACCTTCTCATCAGACATTCATTCTCTCCATCGCCCGGCTGGGACCCAGGCATCCTCTCAGTCCTCACATCTTCACCCCCGATTCCCACACCAGCTGCTTCTTTGTCGGTCCTTCCTCTGAAGTGACTCCTAACCATCTGTTCTCCATTCCTTCCCCCACTTCCTGCCCTAGTTCAGGCCCACATCCCTGAGGTTTGCTGTGGATAGTGTTCAGAGCTCTTTGTGGGCTAGCCTCGGCCTGTTGACTTTTTAAATATATATATATTTATTTATTTGACTGCCCCAGGTCTTAGTTGTGGCACTTGGACTCTTAGTTGTGGCAGATGGGATCTAGTTCCCCGACCAAGGATCAAACCTGGACCTGCTGCACTGGGAGTGTGGACTGGAGTTAGCCACTGGACTACCAGGGAAGTCCCCTAGCCTCAGCCCATTGACTTTTGCTCTCATCACCTGCTGCTTCTTAAGTGTTATGATCCAGCCACACTGGAATCCTTCCTGGTCTCTGAAGAGGGCCCATAAATTGCTGCCACCACACCTTTCATCTGCTGTTTCTAATCCCCCTCTCCATCTATGAAATTTCTAACCATTCTCCATGGCCCAACCTCCGTTACTTTCTTTTCTGTGACGCCTTCACCGATGACTTATTTGACCTGATCTCTTTTCTCAGAACCTCTGAATTTTGTACCTGTTTAATGGTTCTTATTATATGTTGGCTTGCATTTCATCATTATTTCTTATGGATGCAGAGATTAGCTTGTAAACTCTTCTAAGCCATGGCTTATAAATTATCCATTTTTGTATCACGTCACTACAGAATATAGTGCAATTTCATGTATGTGTGTGTCTATCTATATATCTACAAATAGATATATATCAGCTTTGTTGAGGTATAACTTACATAGTATGCAATTCACCCATTTAAAGTGTACAGTTCAGTGCTTTTACTGTATTCAGAGTTGGTCAACCATCACTGCAATCAATTTTAGAACATTTTTATCACCCCAAAAATAAATGCTGTACACATTACAGTCAGTTCCTATTCCCTCCAAACCCTCAGCCCTAGGAACTGTTAATCTACTTTCTGTCTCCTTAGATTTGCTTATTCTGGATATACCATATAAACAGAATTAGAACAGTGTTTGTCCTTTTGGGTCTGCCTTATTTCATTGTTGGGCTTCCCTGGTTGCTCAGCTGGTAAAGAATCCACCTGCAATGCGGGAGACCTGGGTTCGATCCCTGGGTTGGGACGATACCCTGGAGAAGGGAATGACTACCCACTTCAGTATTCTGGCCTGGAGAATTCCATGGACTGTCTAGTCTATGGGATCGCAAAGAGTCGGACACGACTGAGCGACTTTCCCTTTCTTATTTCATTTAGTGTGTTTTCAAAATTGATCCATGTTGTAGTGTGTACTTCATTCCCTTTTATGGCTGAATAATATTCCACACAACACATTTTGTTTATCCACTCATCAGTTGGTGGGTATTTGGGTTGTTTCTATTTTTTAGCTGCTATGGATAATGCTGCCATGAACAAGTTCTTGTGTGGATGTATATGTTCATTTCTTATGTTATGTACCTAGGAGTGGAGTGGGTGAGTCAGATGTAACTCTATGCTTAACGTTTTGAGGAACCATCTAGTTGTTTGTTCATTTTATTTATTTTAAAACAATGTATTTTTATTTGGCTGCATCAGATCTTAGTTGCAGCACACAGGACCTTTGCTGCATCTTGTGGGATCCTTTGTTGGGGTGCACCCTAACATGTGGCACCCAGGCTACAGAGCGTGTGGATTTGGTAGTTGGGGCCTTTCAGGCCTAGTTGTTCCTTGGCATCCAACCCGGGATCAAACCTGTATTCCTGGCATCACAAGGTGGATTCCTAACCACTGGACCACCAGGGGAACTCCCCATTAAAAAGCTGCTTTTCAAAGTGACTATAGCATTTTACATTTCCACAAGCAATGTGTAAGGAGAGTTCTATCTTCCCACTGGCAGCACTTGTTATTATCTGCCTTATTTATTACAGCCATCCTAGTGGTTGTGAAGTGGCATCTCATCATGGGTTTTTAAAAAAAATTTATTTTTTATTGGAAGGATGATGGCTTTATAGAATTTTGTTGTTTTCTGTCAAACATCAGCATGAATCAGCCATAGGTATACATTATGTCCCCTCCCTCCCATCTGCCTCCCCATCCCACCCCTCTGGGTTGATAAGAGTCCCTGTTTGAGTTCCCTGAGACATATCACAAATTCTCATTGGCTATCTATTTTACATGTGATAATGTAAGTTTCCATTGTTCCTCCCTCCATACATCTCACCCTCTCCTCTCCTCTCTCGTGTCCATAAGGCTGTTCTCTATGTCTGTTTCTCCACTTCTGCATTGCAAATAAATTCATTAGTGCCATCTTTCTAGATTCCATACATATGCAATATTTATCTTTCTCTTTCTGACTTTCTTCACTCTGTTTAATAGGCTCTAGGTTCATCCATCTCATTAGAACTGACTCAAATTCGTTCCTTTTTATGGCTGAGTAACATTCCATTGTGTATGTGTACCACAACTTCTTTATCCATTCATCTGTCAATGGACATCTAGGTTGCTTCCATACTCTAGCTACTGTAAATAGAGCTGCAGAAACATTGGGGTACATGTGTCTTTTTCAGTTTTGGTTTCCTCAGGGTCATCGTGGTTTTGATAGCATGACTCTTTCTCCCTATTAGATGTTCAAAAAATATGTGTTGGATCAAGGATATTTATATGTAATATGAACAAACAGACCTTTGGACAGCTCATTTGACTTCCAAGTTTATGAATTAGCTAGAAAAGATGAATGCAGAGCTCAGTATCATTTCAAAAGTTACTTTTAGGCTGTTTTCTCAACTTAAATAGGTTGCCAGTATTACCTTGGTGAGGCTATCAAGGTGATCTGTCCTAAAAATTCATGTAGCTTTGCAGGTATGAATGTATTTACAGAATAAGCAAAATTCCAATTTTGATATGATTCCTACTCAAAAATGTACCACTGAGTGGGGAGACCAGGAAAGGTGACTCCTAACTGGGGGCATGTGGTAGGGCAGGAGAGGAGGCTTAGAGAAATGCCATTGGTAAGTTTCTCTGGTTTGAGTTTTCCTCTGTCAACAGCAGACCCTGGGAAACGTAACAGGTTCTGAAAACTTAATTTTGATGACTCTGGACATCAGAGAAACAGCCAGCTGAATCAGTTCCCTCTTGGGCAGCTGATTATCTCAAGTCAGAGGTAATGGTCCAACTGCTTTTGCTTGGTTCGAAAGAGTTCTGTCTTGGCCAGAACCCATCCATTTAATCCATCCCTGGGTCGACACTTCTGTCTGCTGTCCTGAAAACCAGAGATCCACTGAAGGCCACCAATTAAAGGCCTGGGACTGGGCTTACAACTCTGGATGGTGTGCAAGTGTATTCAGAGGAACTGGCGTGGAACAGGGTCGAAGGCCATAGTAAGTAGATAGTAGCCAGCTTTCTGTCTGTATAACACCATCTTGCTTAACAAGCCTCACACAGGAGACTCTGCAGTAGCGTTCTCTGCGCCTAGTTGAGAGGCCCCTCATCATCTTTAGAATTTAGGGGGTGTGCAGTGTTTGTTTTCTACAACCACAATCACTCTTATCTGTCTGAAGATGTTTCCAAAGGCTGACAACAGGCCCCTTTCAGAAGCTCGGTAGGAAAAGTATTAACAGTTGGAAACATGTCAGCCGCTTTATGGAGGAAGCGCAGCCCGGGCCTGGTTTCTCTGGGCTTGGGTGATAACTTGGGCCGCCGCAGCCAGGGCAAAGCTGGTGGCTGGAGCCCTGGAGATGGCAAGCGCCTCAGAGGAGGGCCCCAGCTTTTCAGAGCTGAAACAGGAGCCCTCTGAGAGAAAGAGATATTGCATGTGGCTTCCCTGATGCCTAGGAGGGCGACGAGGATGACACAGCATCAGCCGTGCCATCGCGGGGTGGGGACGCAGGGGGCGGCCGCTTGGGGGCAAGGCAGCCCCCGCCGCCGAAGCATCAGTTGTGGAGCGCGGGGAAGGGAAGGTGACAGAGGTCGAGTCAGCTCTGAATGAGTTGGATGGAGAATGCGCTGCCGGGGCGGCAGTCCCAGAGCAAGAAGTACTGGGCCCTGGGAGAGAAACGGCCCGGAGTTGGGGGCGGGGTGAAGCGCCAGTTCCTTCATCTCCCGCCCCGTAGTCTGCCTGTCCCACCTGGATGCACAGCGAGGACCGCGTGGGGAGGGAACCGCGCGTGTGGGGCTCTCCCCCCCCATCTGCCTCTGAGACCAAGAGGGGCGGCGTCGGGTCAGGGGACCCCCCCCCCCCTCCCGGCCTCCGCAGTGCCCCTGTCGCGCCTCCCAGGCGTCTTTGCCTCGTCCCCTCCTCCGTTAAAATAGTGAAACAAACCTCCGAGTGAAGTGATGGAGAGCCAGGGGCGGGGAGTCGCTCGCAGTGAGGGGCTGGAGTGGGGAGCGGGGGGCGCGCGGTGGTCCATGAAGGTGGCCGGCCGGCAAAGAGCGCCGCGCAGGTCGCATCGCGCTCGGCAGCCGCCGCCGAGACCCTTCCCCCGGGGATTGGGGGGGGGGGGGGGTAGTGGGGGCGGCCTAAGCCCTCCTCCCGCTGAGCCCCCGGGGGCGCCTGCGGAGGGCGTGGGGGCCAACCTGGGGCTGGGGTGGGGATTGCAGTGTCCTGCCACCCTGGGATGGAGACTGCAGTCAGCCCGCAAAAATCGGGGCGAGGGGCTGCGGCGGGGCCCGCGGTTCCCCCTGCCCCCGGCCCGAGCGCGGCCGCCGCCGCCGAGCCCCTTCCCCAGGGTGGGGGGGGCGACCCAAGCCCTCCTACCCCTGGGCCCCCGGTGGCGCCCGCGGAGGGCGTGGGGGCCAATCTGGGGCTGCGGTGGGGGTGGGGTAGGGGACTGAAGCGTCCCTCCATCCCTGGGATGGAGGCTGCAGTCACCCCTCTAAGATCGGGGCGGGGGGCTGCGGCGGGGCCCGCGGTCCCCCCCCCGGCCCCCCCCGCCCCGGCCCGAGCGCCGCCGCCGCCGCCGCCGCCGCTCAGTAACACGTCCCCAGGAGACGCGCAGGAGCAACACGTGATGTGTCTACTTATCAGGGTGAGAGGGGGAGAGCGGGGCTCCGAGCGTGCGGGCGGGCAAGCGGGGCGGGGGGCCGGGGCGGGGGCCGGGACGGCGGCCGGGGCGCCGGGGTCGCCAGCTCCTCGCCCACCTCCCTCCCCGCGGGGCGAAGCGGGGGTTGGGGGGGGGAAGCGACTGCGGAGTTGATGAACTTTGCACATCCAGAAACGCCATTTTGATTCCTTTTCCGGAACAAGTTTGCATCTCTGCTCGATCCCTCCCTGCAGCCCACCGGTCCCCTCGGCGTCCTCGCCCGGGAGCCCCCAGGGCCCTGGCCCGGCCGTGAGTACGCGCCCCTGGGCGTTCCGGCTCGCGGTCCCTCGGGCGGCCGCGAGATGTCCGGGACTGAGCCGGGAGCGGCGACCTTTCCGAAGAACTTTTGGGGATGTGGGGAGGGTGAGGTCTGCGCAGGGCGCTCCGTACTTTTCGAACTCCGCGTCTCCCCCGGGAGCCGCGAGGACCCGGGAGCCACCCCCCACCGCACCCCACGGCCGCGGCGCTGCGTGCGCTCGGGGGGCCGGCGTGGGATGAGCCGGGCAGCCCTCGCCCCTCGGGCTGCTGCGCGCCGGGCCGCTCCTCCTCCCCGCGTCCTCCCCCCTCCTCCCTCCTCCTCCTCCCTCCTCCTCCCCTTCCTCCGCTCCCTTTCCCCTTCCCGAGCCGCCGGCTCTGCCAACCAGCTCCCAGCGCGAGCCGCCGGCCGCAGCGCCCCGCCGCCGGGGACCTGATGCGCATCCATATTAGCCGTCCGAGCGCAGGAATCCGGCCCGACCCGCGCCGCCGCTCCCGCCGCCGCATTTATTTTTAACCGAGCCCCGCCGGGGGGACTCGGAGGGTGAGCGCCCGGCCGGCCAGAGACATCTTCCCAGCGCACAGTTCTCCATCTTCCGCCCTCTCTCTCTCTCTCTCCCCCGACATCCCTCCTCCCCCCCCCCCCCATGTGGGAGGGGAAACTCTTCTCCTACATACTTTCGAGTCCCTCTCGGGCCGAGAGGAGCGCGGAGATGACGGCGCCCGCCCGCCCGCCGCCGCCGCCAGGTATCCGGGGGTGCCACGCTCGGGGGGTGCCAGGACCGGGGGTAGGGGGGTGCTCGCCGGGGGTAGGGGGGTACCGCGCGGTGGGAAGCATCCGCCGCGCCCTGCACTGCGGACTTTGATCGTCTCCGGCGGACGGCGCCGGCCCCGAAGGGGGCCCTGCGCCTTCGCTGCTCCCGGCTCGTGGCTGCTGGTCACGCCGACCATCGCGCCCCCCCAACCACCGCGCCCCGGGTGACCGCACGAGGGGCGGGGGGGGCGCGTCCGCGCGTATTGTTCTCTGGCCTTTCCGCTGGCGGTGTACGTGTTTTCGTGGGAGCCATCGGTGTGGAGCGGAGCCTGCATCGCAGGGGGGGGGGGGGCGGTTTGGGGGGGGAGACCTCGGCGCCCGGCGCCGTCACGAGCACAGGAAGGAGGCCGGGAGCATCCGAGGCGGGGCCGGCCGCCGGGGCCCGCTTCGCCGCCCAGCTGTGGAGCGCGCTCGGAAACTTTTGTCCGCCGCCCGCTGGACCAATTTTTTTTTTTTGCCGAGTTGTGGGGCTTCCTTGCCTCCTCCCATCCCAGCCCCGCAGCGTCCAGCAAGGCAGGGATGGCGGGGGGAGGGGGGGGGTAGGGCTGGCGTCCAGGGGCTGGGGGACCTAGTGCGCCCCCCGCGCGCCCCCCTCCTCCTCGGCCCTGCTCCCCGCGCCCACCAGCCCCCCACCTCCCCGCTCGCGGTCTCTTAGGAAACTGCGACCTTAATGGTTGCTAAGGAGCAGGGGAGGTCCTTCCCGTCGCCGGCCCCCTCCCTGGGAGCGGCGCGTTCTCTGGACCGGGCCGAGGGTCGCGTCGAGGATGGGAGGGCTCGCTCCCCGCCGCCCGCCGGGCCTGGGGAGGCGCGTGAGTGCGGGGCGCGCCGCTCCAGCCCACTCCTCGGCGGGGCCACTTTGCTTTTCGGGCGGGCCGGGGGTCGGGGGGGGGCGATGTATGGGTGGGGGGCGGCAGAGGACCCCCTCCCCGGGCGCGGGGATTGGCCGGCGGGCGAGCCGGTTGACAGGCGCCTCGTGTAACTCGCGTCCCGCGTCCGCGGTGCATCCGTGATGGGTTATAAAAGAGGAGAAAAGTATTTCTCCTTGCTCAGCACATTTGCTCTGCCTGGCTCCTTACTGGTTAGAAGATAGAACGTGAGCCCAGATCCGGACGAGCAGTTCACATTCCATTACGAAATTCTACACGGCTTCAGAGCCAGCAGCAGCACACATTCGGGCCACTTTGGAGTTTTTTCGGCTTCTTTTTTGGGGATGGTGGTGGTGGAGAGAGATGGAAAGGCGAATAAAAAAAAACACATCTCTGGGGTATGCTGAAAAACCTGTCTGAGGGTTTTCATCAGCAGAAACATTCACCCCGTGCTCGTTTTAGAGTTTAGATTTAAAAGCCAGTGGAAATGAAGTTTGCCTGTTGGATAGAGATGCTGGAAATAGCGAGGTGTTTCTGTCTTGAAGACGAGACTGGAGGTGATTTCTGCAAAGGCTGCCGAGTCGTTAATGTGCATCCCATGTTTTCCAGATAGTTTTCTTCTAGATATGCAGTGCTGTGTGCGTGCGCGCGAGTGTATTCGAATTTAATTGATGTGGAAAGCGGAGAAAAGGGAACTGCAAAGAAAAGGATGGTTTTTGTTTTGTTTTTCCCCAGGGCCCTTAAAAGCATCCTCTAGGGCTGTTGCCTTCTCCAGCAGGCAGGTATGGCTCTAAGTCCTAACCTAACCCGGAAGTCTTGTTAGAGGCTGAAGCCTTGGCTGAAACTTCTTTTTTTTCTCTCGCTTTCTTTTTTTAAACGTGTAGTTCTTTTCTTCCTTCAAGAGTCACACAATCACACAAATTATTCTTCAAGTAATTTATGCAAAGGTGAGTCACTAATTTTAGTTGTTATTTTTTTCCCCCTCTATCTTTTACCTTTGCCCTTTGGAGGAAACTTTTGGGTATCCTCTCATGGATCTTGCTTTGATGTGTTTTGGGCTTTGGTTACACTGATGAATTAAACATTTGAATGGCTTTTATCAAGTTTTAAATGTGTGAAAAAACACCTTCCTTCCCACCCCAGCCCCCTTTACAAAAGAAAGGGAGAGCCCTTTGATTTGTTGTTTGTTTACCTTGCGCTTCATTTTAGGTAGTTAATGAACTTGCACTGTTTTATTATTCTTAAAAATACTGCCAAACAGGTTGCATTTTAGGATGTTTTGTTTTTAAAGAGGATTTGCTGGTTACACGATACTCTTAAGAAAATGCTGCTGACCTTTTCTGTTATATGGCATATCATTCTCTGGGTTTTCCTGGATATCACCTTGTTTCTCATCAGAAATTCAGAGCCGGGGCCCTTATGGCAGACAAGCGTTTGTTGTGTGATGGGAAGATGGGTCTGACTCAGCTGGCACAGGTGGGGCATCCATTCCTAACTGTTTGCATCATCTTACAAATGACCTTTTGATGGAAGGGTCTTTTATTTTAGACTTCTTCAGGCAGGCTCCTGAGGTCTCACTTGTAGGACACATTCTGTATCCAACATAGGTGCAGAATGTTGAAGGAGGGAAGTAAGCCTACTAAGCCAGTCTGCATCACCCCGTCAGCAGTTGTTGATGGATTCCTTGCTGTGTGCCCGGCCCTATGCAGTTGCCATTATGTGGTTTGCATTTTTACCCAATTTTGAACTGCTGTGCTAGTCCACTTCCTAAAATCAGTTTGGAAATCTTTGCTGGTTGTGTTATGCTCAGTTGTTGCCATCATTTATTACCTTCAGTGAAGGACATTTCCTGGTTAATGAAATTAAGAAAAAAGTCTAGCTTTTGGGGGGGTTTGTATGGCATAATTAATATAAATTTAACTCCTGCAGAAAATTGATTAAAAGTGCTCACTCGAAGTAGTCAGAAGTGAATCCTTTTGATGTTTCTATTCATTATCCTTCTGAAAAGTAGGTGGTGCTTAAAAGGTCATAGGATAAGGGTTGCTAAGCAGCTAAACAGAAGGATGCTAAAATTAACCGAAGCATTTTTGAAAGGGAGTCCTCCCCTGTTTTACATTATTTAACTAGATTTAATTAATTTCTGAATCCTTCATGTCCTTTGGCCTAGGAAAGTAGGATGTTGAGTTTGTTTTGTTTTTGTTATCATCTTTAAATAATCTCTCTCTTGTAAATGTCTTTTTATTGAAGTTCATGCTCTGACCAGACCTGGTGTCAGATGGCAGCTTCTCTGGGTGAGCGTCTTGTCTGTTAACCTGTGTGTTCAGATTAAATCCTTGCTTCCCTGGGAAAGGTGTGTGTAACATCACCTTATTTCATTTATTAATAACAGATGGCTTAGTTTGGAAAACCTACCTAATCCGTGAAGTGATGTCTTAGTTTGCTCTTTACTGAACAGGTTTGTGTTTGGAAGCTAGAAATGCAGTAGACGATCAGCAGGATGAAGGCAGTCGGGCCTCTCCTGATCCCAGGACAGTGGTCTTGGTCCCCCTTTCTGCTATTAGATCAAGTTGTGATACAGCACCTCCTTTTCACTCCACATCCCCATCTCAGTTTATTTCAGCCCCCTTTTGAAAATAGTTCCATTAGATGTAGAGTATCTTTGGGACCAAGTGTTGAAAAGCAACACTTGAAGGATTTTTGAGTTTTTCAGTGAGAAAAAAAAAAGGGTTTCAGTCTAACTGAAGCCATGGTTGGTAGCCATCTCTTGGCTGAAAAGCATGCTCACTGCAGCTCAGAAATTTCCCAGTCTCAAGGTTACTTGTATGCATCTGACCTGCCAAACAGGCAAAGTTGAGTAATGTTTTTTATACCCAAATACAGTGAAGAAATTAGATGGGTTTTCTTGGGAGGGGCAAGGTTAGTGAGTTTTCTTTCTCTCTTTTAGCCTTAGAAAGTGGATGCTGAGTAGAAATAGCCATGTCTGTCTTCAGAAAGCAGGGGTCAGCCTGTGATCTCTACACCCTGGGGGCCTACCTATAAACCAGAGGGAAAAGGTGTACGATCTGAAACAAGAGGGAGGCATGCACTGTGCCTTCTGAAATGCATCACTTATTTTTAATTTCCCCCACACCCAAAGGGAGGCAGAACACAGAGAGGAAAGCCATCTGCGAGGTTGTCTGGATGACCGAAGTGGAAGAGTGAGGAAGACGGGGCGGGAGGGTGATGGGCTTCCTGCTTTTCTGTTGGCTGTCCTCTGAGACGGGGCCACCTGCTGCGCTGGTCTCTGTCTCCCTGGGTGCTGTAGGAAGGGCAGCTGAGAGTAGCTGGCAATGGTTGGTGGAGACTGGGGGCGGGGTGGGGAGGGGAGGGACGCCCAGAGGAGGGTGCAGGGAGCTGTCCCTGCAGCGACTGGTGCATCTTGTTCCGGATGGTACCCTGGGTACAGGTGAGCCAGTCTGCCCATCAGTAAGGTGGCTGCCAGTGAATAGGCGCCTAGACAAAAGAAGTGGGAGAGGGTGGAGACTGTTTGTTCAGTGTGATTCAAGCAAGCAGCGCTAATAGAATTTGAAAGCCTCTGTGAAGTCCCGAAGTCTGGGTACGGGAGGTCCGGCGGGATTCACCTGAGGCCTTTCAGACTCGCCAAGGGCGGGTGGTCCCGATGGGGGTGAGAAGGCCCAGGCAAAAGCCCCACATTCTTTGTCGGCCGGCCAGACGGGCAGAGAAAAAGGCTCAGTGGGGGTAATTAGATAAAGCTTTTAAATGGCTCTGTTTGTTTTTTCCCCTGGCTGGCTTGGTATCTCTTCTCCCCGCCTCTTTCAGAAGCTGCCGGGTAAGACGGTTCTAAGAATGTTGGAGGCTCTTAGTGGTTTCATTACTTGGGACATTTCATTTTTCGTTAGGGCGGACCCTGGACAAAGTGAACTTCACCCTGCTTTTGTGGAGGCCTTGAACAAAGATTTGAATTTTATCCTCAGAGCGGGAGCGGCACAGTGAGGGCTGGGTGGGTGTATTAACCCATTTTCCAGCTGTGCCAACCTCCACCCTGTGGCTGGTAATAAATCAAGCCCAGGACCCAGAACTCCCAGCTCCAGCCTCACTCCAAACAACACCTGCTTTTTCAAGTCAGCTTGGCCTCAGAAGACAGAGCATCAAATATACAGGGCCTGTTTATCTGTGTGTGTGTGCTTTTAAAATGAGACCAGATCCTTTGACAACAATTCTGTGGTTGAAGGCAAAGATGTAAGGCAATTAAAAAAGAAACTTTTTTAGCCTTTGGCAGCGTTTTTCTTGATGAACATGATTATAGACTTTTTTTTCAGTAGGTTTTCTACCTCCTGAGATCATTGTAAGGATAAAATAAATGTTTCAGAAAGTCAGAACCTATATATGGAAGAAAGTGGTGTATTTTGAGCGCAGGAAGCTTTGTGGGTATCCACTCTGGATTTCCTTTCCAGAATTGTGCACAACTCCAGGACTCAGGCAGAGTTTATGTTTGCTTCGAGTGCCCAGAGACAAACAGGCCAGCACATTATTCTTCGCGAAGTTTACTTGTATGCTTAGTCGCTCAGTCGTGTCTGACTCTTTGTGACCCCATGGACTGTAGCCTGCCAGGTTCCTCTGTCCATGGGCTCTTCTAGGCAAGAATATTGGAGTGGTTGCCGTCTGCTTCTCTCGGGCATCTTCCTGACCCGGGAATCGCACCCATGTCTCCTGCAGTGCAGGTGGCTTCTTTACCTGCTGAGCCGACACTTAGGGATGAATTCTAAGGGACAGGCAGCTGGTAAGCTTTGGGCGCACTCTTGAGAGCAGTGGCTCTCAGCTTGGTGGTCCCCCCCCCAGGGGGTGCCTGGCAGCGTCTGGAGACTCTGATTGCCTCGCTGGGGGAGGGAATGGACCGGCCTTCAGTGGGTCCAGGCCGAGGATGCTGCTGCTCTTCCCACAGTGCACTGGGAAGCCCCTCAACAAAGGCTCATCCGGCCCCAGATGTCAGTAGGTGGGGGGTGAGAAAGCCTGCTTCAGAGGTCCAGGCCCGCGTCACCTGTGCAGACCCCCTGGTGGTCTCGCTGTGCTGCACGTGGCATATTTGGGGGTCTGGAATTTCATGGAGTGAGTAAGGTCTCCTTCCAGGACTATAAGGTGCTGTG